AATCCTCGTTTATTTTTGTTTTCCAAAATTAGCCAAGACTTGTTTCAGCTTTGCGACGTTGCTCCGATGCTGCGTAAGCAGGATTTTGCTCCCCCCACCCCTTCTTGGGGCATCCGGGGCATGACAAGAAGGGACGATAGAGGAAGAGAAACGTGTGTAATGATTTGTCGGGGGAGGAGGACTTCGTATAGTGTATCTAGGCAAGTTTGCAGAGTGAACAAGTACCCAGTGCGTCTGCAGAATACTGCATCTCATGTTTCCATTTCAGGTCCATGCAAGGCAGGATCGCGGCGCAAGCATTCAGTTTTGACCAGCCATTTAAGCCCTATCTGAAGGATGAGTTTGTTATGGTAGCTCTAATTCCTTTATATTTAAATGAACATGTGTGTGTTGCATGAAATTATAGCTGTGGAAACCTGCATAAAGAAAAATACTGCAGCAATGTTCACATGCAGTTTTGTCGTAGTCTTCTCACTGTCTTGCTGGAAGCAGGTGATTCAGGTGTAGTGTTCAAAGTCTTATTTTGTAGATTAACTGTGTTGTCCAGTGAAAGTATCTTAGTCTGTACTAATGTTTCTCTCTTTTAAGAATGAACAATTTAGTCATTCAAGCCCAAGAATGGGAATCTGAACTGGATGCTGATCTTGGCCACCTCATTTAATGTTGGGAAGTCCATGCAGGGATAGGTTTTTAAACTGTGTACGTGCAGTTAGTACCCTTGGTACCAGCTATTGCTTTGTCACAGTAACTGTACTGGTCAGTTAGACCTGCATGCATACCACATTTCTGAAAATGCAAGATTTTTAAACTTACTGTGCACCATTGATTTATATTGGAATTGTGGGCTCTCAACTTTTTGAGACTCGTTTCCTCTGCTGGCTTCATGTTCTCCATTTTTGTTGTCTGCAAAGTAAAACGTGCTCATCTATTTGAAGAGGGAAAAAATAATCATCTAAAGTTTTAAAAACAATGAATCTTTCCCTTTTAATTTGTCGTATGGATATTTTATGTTGTTATCCCAGAAGAAGAATCCAGAATTCCATAACTGAATTTACTTGATATTTTAAAGAAATTCACTGGAAAACATTTCAAATGATCAAAGTTTACTAAAGACGCATTTACCATCTCAGTGCTTGTTGCTTTTGAATTAGAAATGTAAAAATACCACTGTGAAATGAAGAACTCTGAGTAGATGAGAATTAACTTGAGAATGAAGGGACCATTGCATTACGTAGCCTGATCTCTCTATATCCCAGAGACGTGATAAAGTCATTTGATGATGCAGAAACTGAAAAATCCATCATGTGTCTTAGCAGCTTGTTTAGTGATTGTTCATTCTGGTTGCATATGTGTGGGTTTTCTTAATCAGTTTATCTCTCATTTTAAACTTGTCAGCTACCAAAATCACTATGCACATCTCTTTTTTTCATTAATAAATAAAAAGCGATAAATTAATAAGACTGACCATTTTAAATCTTAACTTAGAACATTTTCTCCATTTCTTCAATAACTTGTGGATCTCTTCTGTACCTGTTTAATCATTTTTGTGTATCCCTACACATCTACAAGCTTCAGCTTCCTTGTTGAAATGTAGATATTAGAATCATATTTAGCATTTCATTTTTCAGCTCAACAGCACTGCATAAAGAGGTAGAATTGCTTTATCTCCTCTTCTTTTTTCTGTAGCTCCAAGGATTTCACTCATCCTCTTTGCATATTCTGTAGTACTTTACTGTAAAAATCTCACATTGTATACCTAAATGTGTAAAAGAAAATATCTTGAATAAATAAATAAAGACACTGGCTATACGGAGTTACAGGAAAAATATGTTTGGTGGTATGATGTTTTGCAACCAAACTAAAGGGTCTACTTAATAACTGAATTCTTATAATTTGTTTTAAAAATATCGAAGGCAATGTACGATGATTTTATGTTTCGTTTCATTAACTCTTATCTCTTATTTTAATTTTGTAGGCATTTTTTAATGATCAAAATGTGAACTCCAGTTTAAAGTTGCTCTCACCTTCAGGACAGTGGACTACTTTGGGTAAAATTAGAATAAATTAATATTAAAGAAAAAAGTCTGTGTTGTAACTATTTTCTTCTAGTTTATCGTTTTGTAGTAATGAAAATTCGTATGAATCCATATCTTTGCCTGATTTAAATATCTTAAAGAATGACTACTTTTATTAAACAATAGGAAACGTTTCTCACCTAGTTTGTTACTAAATGATCAGGTTTTACACTCTT